GCCTTTTTTATCAGCATAAATAGATCAGAGTGGCACATCCAAGTATGATCATACGTTAATTCCAAACGTGATCATATGTTAATTCCAAAATCCAGAAAGACCTCCCAGATGTCCGACTTCTTTCTTCATGGTAGGGGATACAAGATAAGGTACCATGTGCTTGACTTTGGAGGGAACAGCATAATACACACACGTGACCTCCAGACTGCCAGCATGTCGTAGAGATTACAGATCTCTGTAGTTTGAAGGGATTGATCTCCCGCCTCCTAGCACTCATCTACCATATTAATGTATCCTAGAGTAGCTGCTACTTCCTGGTCACCCAGGTTCTATCTGCTTGTCTTTTGAATAGAAGACCACTGTATTGTCCTGTTGGACCACAGATGATCGAGGTCCTTGCCAACTGCTTCTGGTATTCTCTGCGTATCAGACAGAGAAAGCGTTTTTCAGATCAGTAGCTACATACCGGTTGCCAGAGGCTGTGTGTATTTGCTCTGGTAAGAAATGACATCTGGAACAGCAGCTACAGTTACAGGCAGCACCTGATGAGTCACAGTAATGCACATTCTCCATACAAGTACCTACAATACAGTAATGTTCTCAAAGCCCCACTATCTGTACAGGCCAAACCGAAACAATAGGAGATGTGTTGAGAATCAGTACCGCTGTACCTTTGACGTCTTCGATGATGGCACCAATCTCAAAGATGCCCGGAGGAATCTGGTGGTACTTTCTGTAGAGAGGGGGTCCTCCGAGGGCTTCCACTTCCTTTCCCCACTTCATAGCCCTTACTCCACAGACCAGAGGTTCCAGGGAATCGTGCCAGTTGCCTAGTGTCAAAAATAAGCAACGGCAGGGTACACACCGGGAATTATAAGCAGTTTACTGTCGCTGAATCATAAAATACAGCATAATAAGTGGTACGAGATGGGACGGGTATTCCAACTTGTACGTGAATGTTCCTGGCAGCACTATCCACAGTAGCCAAAGGTGAAAACAGCCCAGATGTCCTTCAGCCAATGAACAGTAAACGGAGTTCAGTACGCCATAGAATGGGATTCTTACTCAGCCGTAAGAACAGGATGAAATTCCATGCCGCAACCTCGGAAGCCTCCTCAGTGAGAGGAGCCAGGCACAGAAGGCCACCCTCGCATCGTTCCATGTGTCTGAGCGGTCCTTAGACATGTGGATATTTGCCTGTGTGAAGAATAGAGCAGTCAGTTGGAGACAGAGACAGATGAGGGGGTGCAGGGAAAGGAGAGCGTGGGGAGTGACCTGCTTCGTACGTACGGAGTTTTTTGGGGGGATGATGAAAATGGCCTGGAACTAGATAGCAGTGATGGTTGCACATCATTGGGATATACTAAATGCCTCTGGGTTTTAAAATAGCTAAAATGGAAATTTTATGTGCATTTTGTCACAATAAAAGAAATCCATACACACATTCGCAAAGGAAAACCATCTAACGTTTTGAATGGTATGTGCCACCAAAAATGACGACAGCTCCCAGATTCCCAACATACTTCAACAGTGGCGCAAATAACCAATCATGGAGCTGTAGGGTCTAGATCAGTTACGTAGAGGGTGGTCTAGATCATTTTTGTAGAGGCGGCAGTGAGCCTTCCTGTTTGAGCACAAGGTCAGCAGACACGGCTGCAGCTCCGGCTGCTCTTCCTGTCCTGCCCAGAAACACATCCTGTGGGGATGTTTGTTTCCTGCCTCGTTTAGAATCCAGTTCCCAAATCGCTCTAATCCCAAAAGAATCAACTGATATCTCCTCATCCCAATTTGCACTTTTGTGTTACTGAACAAGTCACCACAAGCCATAAAAGCAGTCTCTGTTTGGTGTAGAAAAAGTTAATAGGGAGTGGCCCTACCTCTTACTATTCTTAGGATTGCAAAAACGAAGGCCTCGAACGGACCTTCCTGCCGTGTGGAACAGCTGTTTGAACATTAGAGCCATGTTGAGCGGTGCGTACTCTGTGTGCTCCTCCATTTGTCTGGGAGTGCCTTTTCTCCCCTACCATATCCACCGTTACTTTGGTGACTGATAGCATGGTGGAACAGAGCAAGCAAATAAATGTGCGCCTTCTTCCCAAGCTTTTGGGAAAGGGCTGCGTAACCTTGGTTCTTTCATCCACTCCTCTCCCACACTATAGCCATAGCAGCTACCCAGGGAAGAAGCCAGCCAGCCCCAGGCCACCAGAGCATGACAGCTCAAAGCCACACAGCAGCCTTGGAGGCGATCTTACACAAAAAGTTTGCGCATAGAGAATTGCACTTGTGTTTTGGTCACAGGTTTTTATATTGGAAACATTTGCATCAGAACCTTGTAAGTCTTAACATGGAGCATTGAGAAATGTCTTCACAGTTGCCGAGTAACTGAATTCATGAACATGTGTGCTGTATTATCAAGTTGACAATAACAAATTCACTTTATTTAAACTTTGTCTCCTTGACGATGTTTCCTATTCAGCGACACTTAGAAATCATTTATTCTTCTGTGACTTGAACTGGGTTTAAATTCTTTTCAAGCCGGAGCTTTCCTGCATTTGGGGCCTTTCAAAATTAGACCTAAATGAATAGCAGCCAATTTCCTAATTCATTTTTCTATTCTTAAGCACATGATCTGGCTTCTAAGGAGCAAACTATGACAGTCTTCTGGATATCAGTAATTAAAAACACCTGCCTGCCCCCAGACTCACCTGGCTTCCCTTACTTAGCAGATACACTGGGAGCCCTGGGAGGAAGATGGCTATTTTCTCAGTGTTAGGAGAGAGGCTACAGATCAGAACTCCTGCCCAGACTGTTGAGTCTTTTCAGGGAAACAGTTCCCTGGTCACCATTCTGGGTTCCCGCTTGGAAGAAAGAGGAGGGCTCAGAGCAGTGGGGCAAGTCCAGCTTTGGGGCTCTCCACTCTTGGGAGTCCTTCCTGCCTTCCCTAGTCTCCGTGGGTGTGCCTTTTAATACCTTTGAAGAACTCAACTCAGTAGAGGAGGACAGACACATCAACAGTCACAGGCCAAGGTGGCAAGTGTCATTTTAGAGTTAGGAACACTGCACTGCGGAAGAAACTAGTCCAGCAGCACCAGCTCTTGACAGAGAGCCAAGATGTGTCGTTTCGGCTCTAGTCCCCTGCCTCTCCAGATCAGGTAGAGTGCTTCTGGAAAGAAGTAGCTTCCGTTGGCCAGGATCGACTCCTGTGCATGCAGATCCCCTCGCTACGAGGGAGTCTGGGGATGTGGGATTTTGACGTGGAGATGGGCCCTGTCAACGGGAAGAGGTTATGAACTGGTTGCTGGATTGTCCCCACCTGTGTCTCCCCACCCCACACTAAGTATTCAAAACCGAAGGTGTCTCTGCAACTCAGGTTTAGGCCCACTGGCTCTTCGTGAACCAGCTGTGTTTATAGAAAACACATATTTAGGAAGACCTTGCGTTTTCTCTGCTTTAGGCCTGTAACAAGCAGAATAAGCAGTTTCCAAATGCTGGTGCCAGGTGCTGTGCCAGGGTACTTGATATTCATACCTAATAATCCTCAAAACGTGATGGAGGCAGCTGGGCTTTCCTAATTTAAAAATGAAGCAACCGAGTCTCCGAGCGGTTGTGGGATTTACCCAGGGTCACATAACTAATAAACCGAACGTAGTTATCGACTCCAAAGCGGAGGTTCTTTGCACTCTCCGGGTGTCACTAGAAGGGCTAGGCGGTCCCCTGTGGGAAAACGGACTTAGTGGCCACGGCGCTTTCCTCTTCCTGTCATCTTCCCCGCTGTCTCCTCTCATGTGTTCTCTTCTCAGTGAGGAAAAAATGACGGCGGCCCGCATCAGGAAGTGCCACAAGTGTGGGACCGGCCTCATCAAATCCGAAGGCTGCAACCGCATGTCTTGCCGCTGTGGCGCCCAAATGTGCTACCTCTGTCGAGTGTCCATCAGTGGCTATGACCATTTCTGCCAGCATCCTCGCTCACCGGGAGCTCCTTGCCAGGAGTGTTCGAGATGCTCTCTCTGGACCGACCCCACCGTAAGTGAATGCATGGCTGCCTGTTGCTTTGTAGGGGGCAGTCGTGGTAAGATGACATACTGAAAAGGGATTTTATATACACATAACTCATTGGGACTTCCGGAAAGATATGAAATTACATAGACCAATGACCACGGGGAAAAAATGAGAAAGTAATTAAAAAGCAACTCCTCAAGAAAGCAGCATGCCCAGTTTATAGGCAGAGTCTTACAATCCTTCAGGGAATAAAATGTTTCTGTGCCATCTAAAACAAATCCCAGAGCATAGAAAAGTAAAGATAGTTTTACGTATTTGTGTATAAAGCATAATGCTGATACCAAAACCTGACAGAGATAACCCTAAAAAAAGAAAATTACATCCGTCTAACTCATTAATATAGGTTTTAAACTCTGTAAATAAAGGGGCGCCTGGGTGGCTCAGTCATTTGAGCATCCAACTCTTGATCTTGGCTCAGGTCATGATCCCAGGGTCATGGGATCGAGCCCCACATCAGGCTCCATGCTGAGTATGGAGCCAGCTTGAGATTCTCTCCCCTCCTCCCTCCCTTGCTCATGCTTGCTCGCTCTGTCTTTAGATAAAAATAAATTCTCGGGGCGCCTGGGTGGCTCAGTCGGTCGAGCGTCTGACTTCGACTCAGGTCATGATCTCATGGTCGTGAGTTCCAGCCCCGCGTCGGGCTCTGTGCTGATGGCTCAGAGCTGGAGCCTGTTTCAGATTTTGTGTCTCCCTCTCTCTCTGCCCCTCCCCTGTTCATGCTCTGTCTCAAAAATAAATAAACGTTAAAAAATTTTTTTTAAAAAATAATAAATTCTCTAAGTAAAATATCAGCAAATAGAAACTATAACCAAGTGAGATTGTTCCAGAAATCCAAAAGATGGTTTAATACTGAGAGCTTTATTAATACACTTCACCATATGATATCTTTAGATGGTAAAAGACATGTAATAAAATCAAATATCTATCTTAAGGCTTAAAGAGTAGTATAGAAGGTTGATTTTTTTAAATCCTATATTTCAGAATAGTCCTTCAGCATGTTTTTAATAGTGAAATACATAGAAGCATTACCAAAGGTCAAATATAAGACCATCACCACTATTTTGTTTTGGAACTGCTCGTCAGTTCAGTTAGCTAAGAGAGCAGAAGTTAGAGAACATAATTGCTGGTGTTTACTGGACATCCACTGTGTTTCAGGCACAGTTCTAAGCACTTTTAAATGTAGTGAAGAAAGTTAAATCTACCGTTTTAAGCCTGAGAAAAGACAAAATAATCAACTGGAAAGCTATTAGAGGCCATAGCCATACAAAGATGGCTAGATACAAAATAAATACACAGAATGTCATTCACTGTCATTCATATTATATAGCAATACAAGTCATAAAATATCCTAGAGATTAGGAGATTAGGTTCAACAAGAAATACGAAGAAAACTATAAAACTATATTGAAAGACATGAAGAGACTTGAACATATGGAAAAATATGCTTTCTTCTCAAGTAAGTTTTCACATAAACTGTATCACTTCTTAAAGTGAGTTCTAAGTTTGAAACTCTGAATCAGTGATAAGCTGATCTGGGCCAAGAGTTGTTCTCCCACAAAGATTGAGCAGAACAGTGAAAACCCTGCAAGCGTGGAGCAAACAAAAGGCCTGAGGAAGGTGCACCAGAGCCCCGGGGGCGCCAGCCCGCTCTTCTGCACTCCCTGGGGCCAGTGAGGACGGCCTGAGAGTGGAGACGCGCCTCCCCCTCTAAGGGAAGACAGCACTTCTATCCGGAATCTAGACGTTTGCTGTGATTCCCATTTAAACTCAGTAGGATGGTTTTTTTCCCTTGAAAAATTGCTTCTAATGAGACTAATTTTTACTAAGCTGCGCTAATCATGTAGACTCAAGACTAGACCAGAGGACAAAACAGAGACCGGAAACACGTTAAATGAGAATTTAATGTGATAAAAATATTGGTTTTTATGTTTTGGTTTTTTTAAGTTCTTATTTAAAGTAATCTTTGGGGTGCCTGGGTGAATCCTCCTGCTTCGGCTCAGGTCATGATCTCGTGGTTCATAGGTTCAAGCCCTGCGTCAGACTCTGTGCTGACAGCTCAGAGCCTGGATGGTGCTTCAGATTCTGTGTCTCCTTTTCTTTCTGCCCCTCCCCAACTCGTGTTCGTTCTCTCTCTCTCTCTCCCTCCCTCACTCCCTCCCTCCCCCCTCCCTCTCCCTCTCCCTCTCCCTCCCCTTCCTCTTTCTTCCTGTCTCTCTCAAAAATAAACAAACATTAAGAAATAAATAAAGTAATTTCTACCCCCAACGTAGGGCTTGAACTCACAACCCCAAGATCAAGAGTATCATGCTGTACCAAGTGAGCCAGCCAGACAACCCTGAAAATATCCTTTCAGATCACTTGGAGAAATGGTAGATGCACCCGTTCTTTTTTTCTTAACTACTCCATGTTGCCAGGACTAGTCTGAACAGAAAAGCCCCGTCGTCATGGAGTTTACAGTCTGAGATGAGTCCTTCGTGTAGTTGGTGTTACGCAGGACTGACGAGTCATGCCACAGAGAAGGCTAGCGCAGGAGAGGGAGGCTAGGCCGCCTTTAGGTGGAGTGACCTGTGCAGGCTCCCCCGGAGGCAGCATTTGCAGAGAGGCCTGCCTGAGGAGGAGGCAATCAAATGAATTCAGCCTATTTGGGGACCAGAAAGAAGGCTGTGTATCGTGCAGGTGGTGGCTGAGAGGAGGAAAGTGAGGGAGGCAGGCACAGCCAGGCCGTGTGTCTCACCAGCTACAGTGGGAGCTGCTGCAGGGCTTACATGGGGGGGTGACTTGGCCTAATGTAAGTGTTCAAGATCACACTGGCTACCATGTGGCAAGAGAAACCTTCAGCAGCTCTTTTGGGGCACTGGGCTATTTGGAAATACTTCAAGAAAACAAGAGAAAATGACTTCTATCATCCCCTAAGTGCGAAGATCCTTCTTAGTGGCATATCGAGGCCAGACTAAAATTACTTAAATCCTCTTTGGCAAAAGACATCGTAAACAAAGATAAAGTTAAATGAAAAACTGGGGGAAATCGTTGTAACACACATATGATACAGATGAATAGTAAAATGTAATGACACGGGCACCTGGGTGGCTCAGTCGGTTAAGCGTCCGACTTCAGCTCAGGTCATGATCTCACCGTCCGTGAATTCAGGCCCCGAGTCGGGCTCTGTGCTGACAGTTCAAAGCCTGGAACTTGCTTTGGATTCTGCGTCTTCCTCTCTCTCTCTGCCCCTCCCCCACTCACCCTCTGTCTCTCTGTCTCTGAAAAATGAATAAACCTTAAAAAATATATATATGTAATGAGTAATACGACTCAATAAGAAATCAATAAACATCCCTCTGTTAATAAGGATCAATTTGGCTGTGACTCACGGAAGTCCAAAAACAGCAGTGGATTAGACAAGATAGAATTTTATTTTTTCATCACATGTTAAGTACAGCAGCGAACAGCCCGAGAGTGGGATGCTGGTATTAGGAGAGTACACAGCTATAAAAAGTGATGCTGGGGCGCCTAGCTGGCTCAGTCAGTAGAGCATGTGACTCTTGATCTCAGTTCGAGGCCCACATTGGGGGTAGAGTTTACTTAAAAAAAATTTTTTTAAGCGATGCTATATGTATACATTTTTTTTTTAACTTAAATATCCAGGTAATATATACTGCATTAATAAGATGAGGGGCGCCTGGGTGGCGCAGTCGGTTAAGCGTCCGACTTCAGCCAGGTCACGATCTCGCGGTCCGGGAGTTCGAGCCCCGTGTCGGGCTCTGGGCTGATGGCTCAGAGCCTGGAGCCTGTTTCCGATTCTGTGTTTCCCTCTCTCTCTGCCCCTCCCCCGTTCATGCACTGTCTCTCTCTGTCCCAAAAATAAATAAACGTTGAAAAAAAAAAATTAAAAAAAAAAAAAAAGATGCTATATAGCTATATTTTAAAACATGGTGGAAGAAAAACATGGAAAGATCTACACATAGGACACCCAACAGCATGTAGCTGGGATCACGGACCCAGGTTACCGCAGGGGCAATAGTAACATAAATGATTGGTGAATGTCAAGTGGGGCCAGGTCTGGGGCCGTAGGGTGTGGTGGGGACTGTGGCAAACAGGAGAGGGTATAAGCGTCCATCTAAGGCTGCCCCTCGGCCCCCACAGATTGTTGCCAAGTGAGATTTTACTCCTAGTTACTTAGCCATGGCTTCACATTCTCCAGAGAAGGTAGAAATCTGTACTTTAATATGATCTCTCCTGATTGTTAAAGATTAGCCCTTAATCCAAGTATCTTTAAAACACAGTTTAAACTAGCACTTTATAAGCCAAAGGAAACGCCTTGTCAGCCAGCAGACTTGACCCCTGCTGCAGAACATCTCCAATGTGCCTGACAAGAGGAGGTGTCGGTAACAGGCCGGCCCCTGTGCGACAGCCACAACAGAGCATTCTCCTGGCCTACCCATAATCCTTGGAGCGACCAGTTTTGAAAAGCAAGGAGTCGTATATGGAAACCAGGTGTGTGCGTGTCAGGAACAACCTCACTGGGCAGAAAATTGGGCTGAGGGACCCAGAAATCGCTCTCACTCCACAGCTCTGTGACTGAGACTGTTAGCAAGCCTTCCTCCCCGCCACCCACTCCCACCCCCCATCACCAAAGGAAGGGCAGACTTTGTAAATAGGTCATCCTTCTGGTGTTGGTTTGATGGAGTGGAGGGAGGTGTGGCCCTCAGTGACACGGGCTCACTAAGGTGATCCGCGGGGCCTCTGGGGACGAACCTTCCCGGGACCTGGCATTTCTGCTGACCTGCTTCCTCAGTGCCATGCAGCTTAGCAAACTGGGGGAACTATGTGAGGAAATAGGATTTTTTCTTTTAAGTTTATTTATTTTAAGAGAAAGGGAGAGCGGGGGAGGGGCAGAAAAGGCAGGAGAGAGAGAATCCCAAGCAGGCTCCATGCTCTCAGCACAGAGCCTGACACAGGGCTCAATCCCACGAACCGTAAGATCATGACCTGAGCCAAAACCAAGAGTCAGATGCTTAAACCGACTGAGCCAACTAGGCGTCCCAGGAAATAGGATTCTTTCTCTTCAGCTACAACTCCCACTAAGTGCTCCCTGCTCTGCGTCGTCTCTCCGGAAACAGCGCCAGGTAGAGTCACACACGAGAGGGTGTTCGGCTGGCTGGCCTGTCCTCAGCCTGCACAGTTTTCCCTTTCTCCTCACGCTTGTTCTTGTTCCTTCTCCCACCTCTTTTTTGGTCCTACGCCTGGAATTGGTTAAAGGTTTCTTGTGTTCTGTTACCTTGTTTGGGTGCCACGGCGTGCGACTGCCCCCTTGTTTCTTGTCGAACTGTCATCTTCTGCCCTGAGAAAGGTTCTGTATTTGCTCAGAATAAAGTTCAAAAGGAAGGTCAGGCAAATACAAACTCCTCCGATCTCCTCGGGCAGCTACAGCCAGAGATTTGGTTCCATGTGCCCCATTCCCATCAAATCTGGGATCAGCCCCGTTTCCTTGATTCTCACCAGGAGACTGATTGGATTCCAAGCCAGCATCTGTTGGGGCTTCTGAGAACACAAAGCCATTGAGAAGTCCAGGGAAACAAAGCGTGCCCTGTCATCCAAGCCTTTTCTCCAGCTTAATTAACCAGCGAGGCCGGGAAGAGTCTCTATGTCCCTTGGTGGTTTTCTCCCTTAATGACCAGAGATTGCTTGGGAACCCGAATGAACTCCATATGAGAGCTGAAACGGGGAATGTAACTTTCCTTCTCTGCTCGTTATCAACAAGAAGCCAGCAACACTGAACCACGAGTCTTGAAAAACAAGATGTCTTTTCAGTAAGGAAAGAGAAGCCAACTACAGTTTTCTAACTGGGGGGCAGGATGCAAAGCCACATGGCCACACATAAGTGAGCAGACATTATTTTGCAGCAGCGAGGGTCCCTGGGGCTTGACTGCGTCCAAACACGCTGACCATTCCCTGTCCGTGTGCGCTGAGTGAGCGGTAGTAGTTAGAAGGTGTGTCTCCTCAGAAGCCGCGTTCAGCAGGGCAGTCACCTGGCAGTGTGGATTCAGAAGTGGGGCAAAATTCTTCACAGCCCTCTTCTTGTCTATAAACGCAAAAACAAAGTCAGTGTTTGTCTTGGATTTTGGTTACCAGAAACTGCGCAGAATTGTTTTTCACAACCTCCTTGATTTTTTTAATATGAAAGTAAAGATTGTTCAATTCAAATAAAACTCTGGGGCTTTTACAACCAGTTTACAATTTGATACCATTCCCACCCAGCCATTTGGTCAGGAGACGTGTTTATTTTTCCCAAGCCTGCGTCGAATTGAGCCTGATGTTGACCTGTGTTAATGTATTTAATTCTCTAAGGCAGATGCGTCCTCCCATTTTTACCAAGATGACGGTCAGTGAACGGTATCTCGCAGGCTCCAGCCTGGATTGTTTTTTCTCTTGGCGTCTTAAAGCCGCCCACCTGGCTTCTCCCGTCTGTGGTTCCAGCACCACCCCGACTAGACCAGTGCCCAACCCCTGCCGGGTCTGGTGTATGGAGGATACTGCACAACTTTTTTTTTTTTTTTTTTTTTAAAGTAGGCTCCTCGTCCAGTGTGGGGCTTGAACTCATGACCCTGAGATCAGGAGTACACACTCTACCGACTGAGCCAGCCAGGCACCCATGTTTCCTTAACTTTTTTTTTAATTTAAACTTTTCTTAACGTTTATTTATTTTTGAGAGAGGGACAGAGTGTGAGCGGGTGAGGGGCAGAGAGAGAGCAGACTCCAGGCTCTGAGCTGCCAGCACAGAGTCCGACACGGGGCTCGAACCCACAAGCCGCGAGTTGTACGAGAGAGAAAGACATGGAAATGTGAGCTCCCTTGTTGCCCCTCAGCCCAGCTTCCACAGCTAGCCTCAGCATTTTATTCCTAGTCACCTTTTAAACACTGTCCGTTCTGTTACAACATGGGGACAGGACCCACCCCTCACCTGGTCTACAGGTGAGGAGAATGAGATTCGGGTCACTTGGTAACAGCAGAGTGCAAGCCCAGGTCTTGTACCAGATGTCAGCTCCTTTTACTCCAGAAGTCTCCTCACCCTGGAGCCAGAGGTCACAAATTTTGGGGGGCTCATCAGAAGGTGCCCATGGGGGTCCCTGAGCCCAGTGAACCAGGTGGGACTCCACAGAGGTGTAGGACCATCACTGGACTCCTTCCCCATGAGCGAGTTGCCAATGGTAGAAGGGGGGGCCAGGCATCCCCAAACCTTGAAAGTGTCCCTGATCAAGTTTAGGTATCACGGGAAGACTTTGCCAAGGAGGGTAGCAGCATGACTTAGTCCAGTAAAGAGCTGATATGTGTTGTCTTCAGCGAATGCCAGCAGGCCCAGGCTGAGCACTTGACCCTGACAAGAGTCAAAACGTCACATTCCATGCTGCCTCCGGGCCCCTGTGGGGAGCTCTGGATAGAAAGGTGTTTGGGTGCTGGGCCTCTCTGACCCAAGATAGCGGCCTGAGCCCGCCGAGAGCCTGGCCGTCTCTGCTCCCCAGCACGTTGTCCGGCCCCCTGCCCCGCCATTCCAGACCCCAGCTGCACAGCATGTGCCGCTCCGGGCTGGGCCTCCCCCTCCTCCCCCCAATTTCCTGTTGCAGGGGGACAGCTGGGGCGGGGGGTTAGGGACTGGTGTTGCTCGGCGATCTGCAGCCGATCTGGGAACAATTTGAAACTAAATCCTCAGCCCTTTGGAAGGCTTTTATGAAATCATTGCAAGTTTATTAACAACAGCTGTGGCCACACATGACCTGGATCCCAGCCCCAACCCCACCCCCAGAATCGCAGGAGGGAAGCAGCAGTTGACTTGCGATTCCCAGTCACCTTTTTAAGGGGAGGAAAAGTTAAATGAAGAAGAAAAGTCACCCACCCTCCCTCCGTGGTCACAGGAGGCTGGACAGCAGGCAAGCGGGCGGCCGGCCATGGTGATCAGAAATGCTGAACAAAACCGGCCCAGAGGGACTTTTCAAAGCTTTGGCAAGAGCAGCCTGGGGCCAAGCGCTCACACATCTATTTTAGGGACCTCCAGCCTGTGCTGGCGATCTCGGCAGTCTCTGATTGACAGAAACAGCCTCCTGTCTGTCCAGACTCTGCTGCTCAGGGAGAGCTGTGGAGCTTCGTTGTTGAGGCGCAGTTTAAGGAGTCGGGATTTGGGCGCCTTTTTCTTTCTTAATTAAAACCTCTCTGGTGAATTCTGCCTCACTTCCTGTCAGCGACCGCCGGGCCGAGTGTGTGTTTGGAGAAACCGGGCCCCTGCCGTCGGCCTCGTGCCCTCGCCGTGCTCCCCGCTGCCTCCATGTGAAACAGGCGTGTCCGAGGCCTGCAAGTCAGGCCGGCACTTTGTGTCCTGCTGAGCTCAAAGGAATTCGGGGAAAGGAAGTAAAACCTTCCTGTTAAGATGCGGCCCACTCGTTTCTTCTTTTAAAGTATTCTTCCAGATCTGCCGGGCGGTGAGACTCCATGCCTCATTCCGCTTTGTTCCTTGAGCCTCGGCACTGCATTTGGGGTGTGCCGGACCACTGTAGGCGCTGTGCCTGTTCCCTTCGCAGTCCTCCGCGTGTCTGGTCGTGCTTTGTGGGCTCCCCTCCCAGAGTGGCCGTGGGCAGCCAGAGGAATTTTTTGGATGGTTCTCTTCCACCGAGCCCGGTGTTTCGTTATACTCGGCCTTTTGAGACCCGCCCGTCCTGGGACATCTTGACCATGGACTGGTGTCCACTCCCTCCTGTTTCAGCCTAGCCTCGCTCGTATGCACATTCCGTGGATCTGTGTAAAAATTTTCACCCCGATGAGGAGGAGCCAGAAAGCGTACAGAGAATGGAATTCAGGCCTGCTGGATCCATCTTAAAGCCCGTGCCAGAGGCCAGATGGAGGAGTCCTGGGGGACGTGGCGCCCTTGGTGGCCATTCACTAAAGCCTGTCGGGGTGTCCGATGCGGTGACTGTGACAGAGCCATCTGTTCCTCCCGCAGTTCCTGACAGGCCCGCGCGGGTGGGGTGCGGAGAGGAGCTCAGGTCTCAGGGGCCGATGAAGGGGCCCTGACCGCCCGCTCCTGAGGTCTGCGGCCTGTGGCCACCTGCAGAGCCCAGAACTGCCCAGGCACCCCTGGAGGCTGTCGGCCCAGAAGGAGCAGCTGGTCTCTGCCTGGTCCCGATTTCACGTCTCATGACCCTGCGACCTTCGGCACGTGACTGCATCCTCAAAGGGGTAGAGTCTCTGGCAGACTGGGGTGGCAGGGAGAGACACCTAGGGAGCGGGTGTGAACTAGAGCAGGTACGCACGGGGAGGTGGGACCTGAATGTGCAGAGCACGACTTTCCAGAAGAGAACCTCGGGGCTTTTCTGAGTGAGATGTGGATACAAAAACAACCAATGGGAAGCAGGCCAAATATTCCCAGGAGTTCTCTCTGGAGAGAAATTACTGGTGACTTTTTTATTTGTGTTTTATTAAACTTTTTTTCCCCATAATTGCTTTAATGTGTATAAGAATCAAAAACACTGTTTTTTTGTGTGGCAGAAAGAGAAAATTCCGTGGGACTCTGTGATGTGCAAGAAACTTAGTAGCCTCACAAGAAAAGCATGTCAGGGAAATTTGGAAGTGTGTGTTCCCACTCTTGAAATGGGCTAAGAACAACAGCTCAGTCAGAGGCGACAGGAGACCCGACTACCATGAGCCAGTAAGTCCTCTTGGGCCTCATGGTAGAGCCTGGCCTGCACCTTGGGTTTCTGGCTCAAGAGATGAGGTTTTTGGGCCCCCAAGCTCCTGTCTGGATGAGAGGGACCTGCCAGCTTTGTCTCAAAGGCCAAGTGCCGGGGAAGCCAGTCAGAGACTGTCAGATGGGCCTTTTTTAAGTCTATTTATTTATTTTGAGAGAGCACGAGGAGGGGGAGGGGCAGAGAGAATCCCAAACAGGCTCCACATGGCACAGATCCTGATGCGGAGCTCAAACTCACAAACCAAACCGTGAGATCATGACCTGTGCCGAAACCAAGAGTCAGACCCCTAACCATCTGAGCCATGCGGCCTGGCACCCCTCAGATGAACTATTTTTAAGGCATGGTACATGCACTTTTGGGTGAGCTGACCAAGAATGCGAATTCCCTAAAAATTTCCAGGGAAGTGATGCTCTGCTGTATTGGCTGTTCGTCTGCTTGAATGGAGGTGTTTTGTTTTGCCCTATTTTCTTGTATTTAGTGGAGAAAAAGGAGATTTCGGAGTTCTGCCCATCCCAGAGAGAAGAAGCCTTCTTGTATTTCAAGGAGGGTGAGATGCACTCTCTCTAGAACAAAGCAGGGCCTGAAAGTACTCGCCTGTGACAGTGCTTGGGGCAGGGCAGGCAGAGTTCCAGGGGCCCTGCAGTCACACTGCTCCAGAAGCTCCAGTTCAGAAACCCGTGGTTTAGGAGGTTAAGAGCTCCAGCCTTGGAGCCGGAAGGCCTGGGTTTGAACCTCACTGAGTCTCAGTTGCCTCATCTGTAACGTGGGGATTCATTAATCGGACCTGACTGGTGGAGTTGTTACGCAGATCCGGGTCTGTGTGGTGCTCGCGGTAGGAGCTGGCACGTAGTGAGGCCCCCGGTAAATGTTAACTTCCATTCTTGCTGTCACTGTGCTTGGGACTTTGTAAGAAGAGATCATTTGCTTCTCACGGTAAACCTGCTGCAGATAGGCTCCAGGTGAGGTTGTGGAGGCTGATGGGGTCCCCCAGCCCAGCTCTGTGGAGCCCCAGAACTGGAGTTCTTCCTATCACGCCCGGTGCCTGTCCGTTAGGAAGCCAGTGCTGCTGGAAGATAAAATTGGCCGTGGTGGCCGCTCCGGCACGCCTGGATTTCCTGTGGGTGACTCATCCCCTTCCGGGGGTGCTGGAGGTCAGTTCCTTCTGTGACCCAGCCCCTGCACCCGGCCTTCTCATCTTCTTTCCTCCTATTGTTCCCCACTTCCAGCAGCCTAGGCGTGTCCTAGATTTGCAGAGTGGAGAGTATCCTGGTTCACCGTGAATGATGACACTCAGGGTGCCTACAGTGTGTCCCAAGGGAACTCCCTCCAGAAAGGTCTCATAGAAGCCCATCTGTCACTCAGCCCAAACCCAAGGGGACCAGTCTTCATGTTTTAAGTTATGGTAAAATACATATAAAGTAAGATTTGCCATTTTTTTTAAGAGTATATGATAATGTCTGCCTTTACTCCTGAGCATCTTTTATGTTTATTTTTGAGAGAGAGAGCATGACCGGGGAAGGGGCAGAGAGAGAAGGAGACACAGAATCTGAAGCAGGTTCCAGGCTCTGAGCTGTCAGCACAGAGCCCGATGTGGGGCTCGATCCCACGAACCACGAGATCATGGCCTGAGCTGAAGTCGGATGCTCAACCGACTGAGCCACCCAGGCAGGCGCCCCTTGATCTGAGGAGCTTTATTTTTTTTTTTTAATGTTCTTATTTATTTTTGAAACAGAGAGAGACAGAGCACAAGTGAGTCAGGAGCAGAGAGAGAGGGAGACACAGAATCCGAAGGAGGCTCCAGGTTCCAAGCTGTCAGCACAGAGCCTGATGTGGGGCTCGAACTCATGGACTGTGAGATCATGACCTGAGCTGAAGTTTGACACTCAGCCGACTGAGCCACTCAGGCGCCCCAGAGGAGCTTTAAATGATTAAGGGAAACTGCTTGGGAAGGAACTCCCCCTTAGAATCTAACATGTTTGGCTAAAAACGAA